AAAATTAAACAGAAGCAGTAGAGGTACATAAGATAGCTTTTTAATGGTTTGCTTGGCCAATACATAACCAACATGCTTTCTATTGATAACTTTTGCGCTCAAACCTCGCTCCTTTGCTTGGAACATTGCTTTGATTAATACTTTCCTTTCCTGCTGTATCGCTTTTGCTTAATCTTGCGTTATGTATACATCCTTAGCTCTCGATGAATCTTTCAACCTGTTTCTCTCTCGAAAAACTGCGTCTCTGTCTTCCCTGCTGAGGAAGCGTGCAATAATTGGTCTCGGGAAGCTTTTGGAGGCATCTTCTGAGCGCGGTTTCCCAACACGATGAACTGCATGGAAGTGAATATCTTCTACATTGATATTCATGTCATTTTCAATTATATCATACACTACATCCATGCAATTTTCGTCATTGCGTTCAGGTACATTCATAAATCGAAGATTCTCGCGTCTAGAATAGGTCTCCAAAGCAATAATTTTCTCCTGTTCTTCAAGCAGCCTTGTTTTCAAATTTTCGATTTCAGCTTGTTGGCTGTCAACTTTTTTGAGGTTTACTTTGAGCAGGTCTAGTTCTTGGCGATGAGAGTCGAGGCTTTGTTGGCATGTTTTCTTGTAGTCGTTGTGGGTTTTTGTTTCTTCTTGAATGTCGTTGATTGAATCCCAAGCCGCCTCTAGAGATTTTTCTACGTCTCTCAGGGACTTTTTCACACCATCAAGTTCTTGTTTCATTTCGTGTCTCAAGATTGAAATTTCGGATGTCAGGTTTCCAAAATGCTCTTGCATTTGAGTATCTAAACGAGAAAGTTTGTCCATAATTTGGTTAAACTGCTCCAGGCTAAGGGCCTCAGATTGTTTGCTGTCTTCCATCACAGTGCTGCTAGAGCGACGATTTCTTTTGGGCGATGGCGTCTGTTGTGAAGACGAGCTTGATGATCTGTTTTCTCGCTCGTTTCTTTTAGACATTAGAGGCTGTCGGGTCTACCGCCAGATTTTGGCATCGATGTTTCATTACCAAGATATTAGAAAACAAAAATGACGCAAAAATTCAACGTTAGGCGTACCTCCTGTCCACAAATTTACGCAACGACAGTGACACGTCTTCTGCCATGATTGCTCGACCCAATCTCCCATAATGATTTAATAGCTTAGTGTATAGGTTTGGAAGTACCAGTAATAGGTCACAAGTTAAATTACAACCATAAGGTACTGACAATCTATTCCACAGAATTATTCGACTGTCTTGACTTGTATTCAACATCCCTGAAAGCCTTGGACACTTTGAAAGAACATCTCATTCTTCCAAGCAAGAGGCTCATCAGGTAGAAACATGGCTCTAACATGTTATTCTTGCTACAAACCCATTTCTTGGATGCAAAATAGAAAGTCTAACTACGGATCAGTGACCAATAATAATATGCTTATTTACAATAACAAGGTATTACAAGAATTCAGTTTCAAGTTTATCTGGGTGGAATCCTGAAGTTTTTTCTTGGTGTCACCGAGAAGCACGCAGGTTGAATTTGAAAGACAAGGATCTATGGTATCTGATATTTGATGAAATGACAATACAGGTACATATTCTTAGACCTTTCATGTGTTTTAATTATGCTTCTGAACCTTAACCCTATAAAGTCTCAAAGTTAACCAAAATCGATTTTATCCAAACAACGCAAACACAGCTGTACATTTTTTGATCACTGGATTTAAATGATCAAAAGACTTTCAACAATATTAATATCGTGAAAATGAAAGGCAATATCTACATATATGTTGCATGACTCCATAAATTATCTTTTTTATAGAGGTCGGCATGATTTGTCCATGCTCAGTTATGTGCCTAACAGACAGTGTGCTTAACATTGGAAACACTGTTTGGTTTTCCTACAATGTGCCTTAAATACATCTATTTTTAACTGAATTAAACCTGAGGATTTTAAATTACACATGTGTTTATACAGGAGGATTTGGAGTTTGCTAGAGTTGGTGGACAGAAAAGGTTGATGGGTGCTGTTTCTTTTCGACAAAGTTATGAAGATGTCAGAAGATTAACTGAAGGTTTGAGAGATTCTTATATATTGTAAATGTTCAAATAATACCGAAACCATTAATTTACATTGTACACTTTGAAAAGAACTGCACCAATTGCTTCAGTCTATACCCTCTATCTGAAGGAAAAAGGAAAATTCAAACCGAGGAGGAGGTTTTCAACACCTCAAACTCCCAACATTGGCAAAGGTGAAATTTGTCAGAATAGTCCATGAGCCAAGTCCTGAAATGTGGCTAAAAATCAATTTTCGTAGCACCCCCCCTAAGACATAGTGAATTTAGTATCAAATTAAAGCTTGATTTCCATATTTTGATAATCTACCTGTTACTTTTTATGTAACCTGTGCTTAAGTGAGAAAATCAACTGTTTCTGAGGGGGGGTGGGTAAGGACAAATTGCGCTTCCCAAATGTACAAGAATTGCAAAATATCACTTTCTGTGTATATACCAAACGGTTTTACACCAAACTAAGCAAAAATACTAACCTCACCATATTTTATGAAATGAACTAATCGAATATGTTTTCTTTAGTTGCCATGACAACCGTCAACGTTTAAATAGCGCATTAGGCTACACTTCTCACTTTTACCGTTTACTTTGTACTAGTGAATGTTTTTTGAAAACAAGGAATTGAGAAGGAAGCACAGAAATGTTTGGTCTCACTGGCCTGACATTTTTTGGGAATACTGCATAACTGAATCCCTTGCAGGTAAATACAAATTTAGCTGGGGGTGGGGTGGGGGAAGAGCTTTGTGACCTCTAAACATTAGTGTCTTTTAGAAACTAGTGGTAATCATTAATTACGGATCAGCGTTCGTCACTTACGGAAAAATTACGGAACTTCCTCGAGTCAAAAGAAGTCCAGCTTCCCGGCCGAGGTGCCCCTAAAAAAATTAATAGGGGCGGCTAATCTGCAGTCACCCGTGATAGCTCGATAATTTCTGCCTTAGTGCCACAGGAACACCAGATAAGGATGCGTTCTAACCAACGCGATGAAATGAGTTTGTAATGAAATTTGCCGATTTTTATTACGATAACTAAAAGGTTATGCATCACAGTAGCTGTTTATACTGTTTCCATGGCAATGGTTGCCTACTGAACTTCTAATACACGTATATTACACTGTTTCTGTTTTGATGATGACCATTGAAGCATTTGCGATTTCAAAAGATCCTTACATCCTCATGACTTGGCCTTTCATTTCACAACTGGCTTTTTTCTGACCAAAAACTACTTTTAAGTCATACGATCAAATTACATTTTTGTAATCATTCAACTCATAGATTTAAATACGTCAACTAGACAACCGATACTAATTAGCGTCACCAAATCTGAATTTAACTGTCATTTTTATCTTCGGTATCGTCATCATTATCATCAACATCAGTATTGTCATCACTATCATCATCTTCTTCACTATCTTCCTTGCTAACACAATTGACACAGTTATCTTGGCATGTACATGCTTCAGTGCAGGGAAGACCATTGCCAACACAAGAGCAGCGTCGTGTTTGACACAATCCTTTGCAGCTGCAGCATACAAGTTCCATCACAGCATCGGGGGCTGGTGCCTGGTTAGTCCAGTAGATTTCCAGTTGGCCTTCTTTCATCTGCCAACCATGGCCATCGGGCGCCTGGTCCGTTTGTGTCTCTAAGGCATGCTTCCAGAGGAAGGCCTGATAGTTAGCACGCTTGAGGTGGTATGTCAGAGCTCCTTTTGTTGGTGGAAGCTGGTGTGACTACAGGTTTTTGCTCTTGCAAAACAACTTGTACCTGAGTTCGTTCACATCATTGCATCTAGGGTCATTGTACAAGGCACAAACAAATCGTTCCATCTTCTTTAAATCTTCTTCATCAGGAGGGAGCCTCTCACCAAGACTACTGACAATTTCCGTCAGAGCTAGATTCAACTGTACAATATCAAGTGCTTTCTTTTTTCCTTTGGTAGCAAAGGCACTGACACTATCACAACCGGTTATGGCATGTAGGCTTGGAAGTACTTCACATATCTCTCGGCCAAGCATTTCAAAAACTTTCAATACCTTTCAGACAAAAAAATAGTGCATCCAAACATCAACTGATGAGATATTCATTAGTTAACTAGGAACATCATGATGACGCAAGTCTTGTTCGCAGCTGTTATCAGGGTTGTCACGCAAAGCTCCTCCCCACTAAGCATTACGTGACCACCCTAATAACGGCTGCGAAGGAGACTACATGATGTGAGACTAATGCAGAAACACAAAAGATAAAATGATGAAACATATCACCTCAACTCTATCAAGATCTCAGAAAAGTTTAACAACAATTAATCACCTTTCACTTTTTTAGAAGGCAACAATGATCCTGAATTGGCTTCAAAAGTGATGCAGTTTGCATTAGTCACCGACAGTGGTTTTCGCTTTGCCCATTCTCCTGTCAAAAGCTTGCCTGCAGTAACACTACTAGAGAAATTCTGGGAAGGTATTGAACGCTGCTAGAGAATGGGATTTAGGCAAGTAAGATATTTTGATCTTAATACCATTCCATCTGAGAGTCACATGAACAAACAAGATGTTGCAATAACTGTTGCTAAATAAATAAATGTTTACAGACTAGGCTTGAAATGGAAAACTGACACACTTTGTATTTCTTAAAATTGTCAAATTTTTAGAAATCTTGAAGGGCAAATAAAAAATCAATGTTGAATATGTTTAAATAATTAAAAATAAGCAAATAAATTAGCACAGCTTCAAGCGTGTACTGAATTAGTGTCACTTGCCATCTATATACTGGTAGCCATGCATTACTTTTGAAATATGTTCTTTTTGAGTTGGATAATGTACTACACTTATGACTTTTAAACAATGGAAAAATACAAACAAAATAGCTGAAATGAAAATTATGTACATCAAATGCATTTCAGACTGAACTATAACACTGACAATCTGTCCCTTGTACTTTCTTATTACAGAATTTATTGGGTGTTGTGTGATGGAGGGGAGCCAAACCGGTCCTTTGTGAAGCTTCTAGACTCCAAGGTAAAACAACGAAAATACAATGAAATCAGATCCAAGTGAAGACAACCTGCCTAAAAAATCTTCCATAACCTAGAGAGCTTTAATAACTTATAGACAGTTTTAATTCAAACACAGTATTAAATAAATTTTTGTCTTCCCTTTATAGCATAACTTCAAGAAAATAAGGAATCACCTCGAAAAAAGTACCCTGCAATCAAACAATACAAGGCAATTGACAGTGAACAATTTAAGAATACTCTTTAAGTTCTGGAAGGATGCCTATGAATGGGACCAAGGAAGCCACCCCCTTTCTCTGCATGAGAGATTAACAGATGGACACGTCTAGCTGAAGATGTATTAGATAAAAAAATGTTGTTTCTCATGGACGTTTTTGACATTTTGCTTTAGAAAACTATTGTTCAAGTGATGTTGCCTGTAATGTTAAGGTAGTCAAAAGAGATGCAACAGCATATGTTGTGGTTTACTTGTGTCCTTTGTTGAAATTATATTTTCATTTCTGGGGGGTGTAAGGTGATGTATAATAAAGGTGTTGAAACGAAATAAATAAAATTGAAACCAAGGATAACATTGAACGAAAAAAATACACAATGAATTTTTTAATCCTCTTTTCATCAGTCGATAACAGTACATGCAGCACTTCCCTATATGGACAGGCCTTTTAAGTTCATAAAAAACCGTTAACATCACAGCCTCATATATTGCTTGCTGAAGTATAGACAAATAATTGAAAAAACAACAACAACAACATCAATAAATGCATCAAAATTATATTATAAAACAGAAAGAGGTGACTCAAACTTAGTAATTGTTAATTGCTGTAGAAGGTTATCTTATTTATAGACATCATTTTCATTTCTTTAAGAAATATAAGGAACATCTGGCGAGCACAGGACAAACAGCAAAATCAGCAGCACTGACTGAACCCATTATATTCCTGAAAGATACGTCGAAATTAAATTCACGTAATGATGTCATTTTAAATATAAGGGCAAGCTAGGCGATAACAAAAAATAGAGACTCAACCAATGCTAAAACTTTTTAACCTCTATACATTGTATAAATTTATCCCTGCAACTGTTACATTCACTTTAGTCATTTCATCTTGGGAGAAAAAAAATAAATCTAGTTTATGCTTTTGCATTGCAAAATACACTGTTCCTGATCTTATGTTTTACAAAGCAATGTCAGCAATATGTTACACCAAGTGAAGACAGAAGCAATGACTTAACTGACAGTTGAATCAAACAAGTTGAGCAATATTGATTTGATAAGAGAAGTGAAATATATATGGGAAGATATATAAAGAAAAGAGAAAATGGAAAATGAAAACATAATCATATTGTTCTTCATCTTTATATTACAGCTATATAATCCTGCAAATGATTTTCACCTTGATTAAGATATTTTATCTTACCATGATATCAAAACTGTCAAACAGGTCCCTCCATTGCAACCTAAGGCCCTGGTCATTCAACAAGCCAGCTTCAACAACTTCAACCAGTTTGTCGCCATGCACTTTGAGCATTCTACTATTTAGGCCATTCATTCTTTTTTTTGCTCCAATTCAAGTGCAAATTCAAAGAAATGATCTGAGACATGGATCAGTCCATGAGTTCTGTATTGTCGCGACTCTGCCAGTTCGAGTGTTCCAGGGTACTTTGTTTCAGAACATAAAATTCCATAGGGAATCGCGACAATGCTTCAATAAGTTCAATCTTGTGAAGGCACTTGTTAACTTGGGACCTTGTGGCACTACTAGCAGTGTACAAGTTGTCCCTTACATATTTTTTTGCATTCTGTAGTACCCTGTTCACTGCCCACACAGCCACAAAACGAACTTTTCCTTTGCCGACATCCTTCATTTGCTTAACAGAAAATGTGGACACTATGTCATCACTTGACTTTGCTCTGACAGACTCTCCAACAATATGTAGTGTATTGTGGAATACACCTAGGACAATGTCGAAGCCAATGCTAATCTCCACCGGTTTTCGTAAAGTGCTTTCAGGTGTTTGAAAACATTCTTTGAGCCATCCTCTATACTCTAATGTTCTTGAAATGACAGTAGTGTTTTGGCAGTAAAACGAAAATCTTATGCCAAACAATCTGGACTAGTGCAGAAAACTGATCAATGTTCCTCACAGCTGAATCCACGGCAGCATTCTTATCACGTCCAAAGTTTGATTCTTCCCCTGGCACAGATTGCCCTTTGAATGACTCAACGAACATTTTCATGTCAAAATCTTCAGAAGGTTTGTTCAGGATGTGTTCGTTTTCCTAAACCATTTCCAAAACCTCTTCCATACTTACAGGTCTCTCTGATTGTTCCTCAGTGTTACTCTCTTGATCATCAAACATCTCCTGTACAATTTGAAGTAATTCCTCATCACTAATGTCTTGAGGGTTGATGGGTCGTTCTCCTAAAGAAAGACGATCCATTTCCTTAAAGCATGGGCAGTTTACAATGTTATTGTTTGGAAGATTGTTGAGTTCATTCAATTCCTGGTTTCGCTTGCAAACATGCTTCTTATTAAAATCTAGCACTTGCACATCATTGATTGACCTAACTCTTGAAAAAGCTGTATAAAGCAGCCCACCGGTGAATTCATAGGCTGAGTGAACTACAACTTTTTCAAGAGTTAGCCCTTGCGATTTATGGATGGTTGATGCCCAGTGCAACTTTAAGGGCACTTGCAACCTGGACCCAATGCTGTGTCCATCTTCACTGACATTGGTCCGGGAAATTTTCTGGGTGACATATTCACCCCCACCCACGTTGATAACTGCTGTATTCTCCTCCAGCTTTCTCACAAAAGTTCCACGGGTTCTGTTGTGAATGATCTCGTTAACGTTATATAAAACTACAACAGGGGCACCACTTTTGAAATAAGACATCTGCAGAGCTGGACAGTTGAGTCCTCGCAGGTCGCCGGTGTCAATAGCCATAAGCGATTGGCGTTCTCTGGGAAGCAAATCCAAGCAGGAAACATTGTGCGCATTGATATGCAAGTTAGTAAAATACAAATGAATAGCGCCATCGGCGTTGTTTAAATCCTTCGAAAGGCCCAAAATTGCTTGCTCTAAGTCATTATCACACCTTCCCACATGAAGCTGTCCCAGGATATTGCGGTAAACGACCTCGTGTTCGTTCTGCCAATGAACTATGGTAAGTTGTATGGTGTGTGGGAACAGACTAGGGAATAAAACAGACATATATCGGCTCACCATCATCAAATTTATCTGAAACAATTTTAAAAGCCTTGCACTGCCCATAGAGCATTCGTCCCACACAACGCATTTTGCTTCCAATAATTCTTTTCTGATCCTTTGGTTCCTGCAAGCCTTTTCAACAACGGAATTAAAAGATCCTTGGGCAGTTCCTACACCAATAAATGAATGCACAGTCACAGCAGGGAAAGCTAGATTGCCATCGTCCTTTAAAACTTCGCAAGCTATGCCCATAAATCAGACAACTCGCACCCCTTTTCCTTTAAGCCTGCAGATTTCTGAATAACTCGAGATTTTCCAGTCCCAGCTTCTCCGAATATAGAAAAATTATGACCTTCCAATGCTGTTTTCACACAATCCTCTTGCTCACAAGTAAGTTTCACTGCCATCGAAACTATGCTTTTAGCTTTGCACGTGCTTTTGACAAAATCAAAACAAACACACAGGAATCGTATTACCCGGGAAAACTCAGCGCCACTCAGTTGATTGGTTACAAGTGACTTCCGTTTTGAGGAGCGGAAGTTACAAACATCCCTGTGCGGGGCAGGGTTGTGGTTTTGAACTGCCAATGGTCGCGATACGCTGACTGTAGGATTTGAAACGACGCACATACCTCAAATGCCTTTGGTTGAGATTTATGCACTGGTCATGTTGAGAAAGCTGGTCTTGCAACTTCAGGACCGCTTTTCTTGAGAAGTTTTGGAAGGATTGGGCTCTCATTCAGATGGGGCATGGATACATATCAAGTGGATCAGGAGCCAGTAATTTTGAGGTAAGAAATTAAATAGGTTGGCGTCAGTTCCAGCTTAAATTGGACTGGGCCACGCGCCTGCGGCTGATTGCTGCCTGCCTTGTTTCCTTCATTAGTTCTAACGGCCGAGGTCAAATATTCATCTTGCAAAATAGCACTTAAAACAGCACGGAACAGCGAAAAAACATGACTCAGTTAACATTTTCTTCAAACTTTTATTGAAAAATTTGTTTCAATTCTGAATTTTGCAACAAATTATAGCCACCGTATTGCTCATATGTATTTTTCTATAAAAAACAAAAGAGCGTTACTCAGATTTCAATCAACAATGGCCCCCAATAACAGAGGGTGGTCTGCCTGTGTTCAAACTCTATCAAACCCTGTTAAAGACAAGACCGCTTATTTCACTACTTGTTTACGAAAGGAGACATTTTCTCATGACCCTGATTCATTAAATATCAGGCCGGTACAACAAGCAAAAATGTCACGCAATGGTTTGCGTCGGACGACAGGCCAGGTTAATAGCAGAGGTGACCTTTAAGTAACAATGAATAGTCTAATGCAAGAATTTACATTGTGATGATTTTCCATTCTTAAATGATCTGTTTCTCTTCCTTACAAAGATTTCTTGCAACAGAACTTACCTGTTGAATTGTTGATGTCGGCATTGAAGTATCCGTCGGCTGCACATGTGCCGGGACATGTTGGTCATGTTGGTTTGCTGGCGAATTCTGAGAAAACGGCATAGAATTTATTAGATGTAACCCGCCCATTAAAAGCAATCTCAAAAGACTGAAGGTCAAGTTAGATGCTTACCTGGGCAAGAACAGCACTCACTGTCTCGCTGACAGCTCGAGAAACAGCCTCGGAGAGGGAGCGCATAAGGTCTTGATCAGCCATCACAGGAGTCGACTCAGAAGGCATAGAATTCCCGCCATTTCCATGGAATAAATTGCAGTTGTGGCGCTCTGGTGACTCATAAATTAATTGACCAGGACACGACAAAAATCCATTTTTTACAAATAATAGATGTACACTCGGTGAGATCAAACTTGATTATTTATAAATAATGAAATTACACAAAAAGGGGAAGTTCATTATTTATATATAAAAGAAGGGATTTGCCAGCATGAAGGTTAACCTCATTATTTGTAAATGAGAGGTTTCAGGATTTAATTAACATACTGCTTCTCTATTTAATGCAGGGATATACTTTTCATTGTCAATGAGATATCATGTATCAGAATTTATACACAAATACTGTCCTGCAGTGCTCTTTATTAAAAAATTTGAGAAATAAGGTGTCCATTACTGTTTTAAACATAACAGAACAATTTCATTGTTTT